CGCAGAGGCCATCCGCCACACTCCCTCCGCTAGCGAAGTTAAGAAACAAGGGAAGCAATGACATTAGATAGAGACTGCTATACACACCCACACAGACACTCTCGCTCTATCTCTCCCTTATCTCCCCTTCTCCACGAGAACGCGGCAAGGTTGTGATGAAGAGGGGGTGTTGCAGCCACAGCACACAGATGACGGTAGCAGCACCGATAGATATACACTCGCATCACAGCAAATGAAAACGGGGGAGCCGCGTTCATAGTTCCACATCACGATTCATATGATGTATAAAGGATCGGGTGGGGATGACGAGGCCAGAGACAATCACACACGCACACCAATAGGAAACGCGAAAAAAAAAAACATCATCAATGACGTGTATGCGTAATTTCGCATGTATAAGTTTGTGTGTGGCTTGAGACAACAGTTGAACGATGGAAGGGGGAAGGGCACTCAAAAGACGAACAAAAACGCAACAACGGAAGGACATATGCAGAAAACGACACACGCATACACAAGTGCATATCGGCCCTTAGCCTAACATGAGTCAATTACACAGTTCGGCCTCTTTGTCACAATGCCCACCACACCAGCCTTGTTTTTCCTTTCTGGCATTCATATTCCTCTCGCTTTCTCTGTCCTTGTTGACACACCTGTTTTACTTATGCACCTGAGACGAGACTAGACAGAGGCTCAGGCACGCACATGCCGGCATCAAAAGCGGCATCGTTGTTTACATTGATTCCTCCCCCTTCTAGACCCACCACCCACGAGTTAATTGCGAGTTGCTCACTCTTCCACTGTAAGAGATTTTTCGTTGCAATTCCTCCAAGAAGAAGAATAAGCATTGCACAACATCAGAATCAGGAGGTACAGCAAAAGGAAACGTGCGATTTTCCCTATGAAGAGTGTTGGGGAGTCGAGGGCTGCAGACACACGTACACACACACACACACACATACATTATATATATATATATATATATATATATCTAAGGGGAGAAAGAAGTGAAGATACATGCGTCTGAATGAGTAATACCAGCAGCAGTGGAGGAGGCGTCACAAGACACACATACAAATTTCCGTCTTTTATTCCCACACCTCCTTGGCACAGGACTATGAAATGGACACCAGAAGGTAATACGGAGGGGACGCACGCGTGTAGTTGAAGAAAGAAAGAATCCGCAACAATCAAAAACCGAAGAACCAGCAAATGAAATGACAGGGAGTCAACTCCCACAGCGGAAATAAAGCTCCTTTGGTGGAGGTGCTTCTGTATACCCCATCTGTCCTCTTATAGTTTTACCCTTCATGATTGGGTGCAAATCCGCAAGGGGAACACAAACCGCATCACCAACAGGCAAAGGCGAAACACAGACACACACACACACACACACACACATACAAAAAGACATACTGCACGCATACATATACACGCACACAAAAGTCTAATATATGTCTACATAGTCACATGCATACACCAAGAGGCGTTGACATCCAATGCCCACCGCACCCTTCCTCACCTTCTTAAACACCTTATTCGTATTGTCGTTTCCTGGTTCTTGAGTGAGACAAATATGCATCTTTTCCCCTCAATTTTCCCCCATGTGGGTGTGCAAGCGCCTGAACAAAGGAGATGGACAGTAGGACGGAAAGAAGCGTACTTCTTGTGTACGTTCCCTTCTCTTTTTATTCTGCTCTGACAGAGAATTACCTACCACAGAAAAAAAAAAAACAAAAAAAACGTGGGCGGGCACATCAATTTGTCCCACCGGGCCGGCAGCGGGAAGGCACACACACACACAAGCAAATTCCTGAACGAGTCACGGAAAACAACATGAACGGGCGTGGAGTGATGAGGGGGGAATCGCACACAATATTCATTTCACGACGCCTCCTTCCCCCCCTCCTGCCCAACGTGCACTCAGCAGGGCAGCAGGCCGCGGTCGGGCAACTCGGAGGAAGACCGAAATTGAGGATGATGGAATACACCGAACGAGAGAGAATGAGAGAGACACACACAGGGAGAGGCTACCGAGAGAACGAGAAACGAAATTAAACAACGAAAAAACAACAACAAAAAAACAACAACAAAGAGCCGGCACAGTTTGTTTCCCATTAGAATCAGGCACTGAGAAAGAAACGGTTGTTTTCACCATATGGGGGGGCTGGCAGGGATGTCGGGTGGCAGCAGGAGGGCGCCACACCTCCACCCACCGCAAAACGGCCGCCGATCCTCATCCCCGCCGCATGTGCTGTTCTGCGCCGCGAGCAAATAAAACGACAATCAAAGACACATGCACACAAACACGCACACGCGTCAAACCGAAGAAAAAAAGAAAGAAGGAAAGAGTAGCCATACAAAACAAAAAAAAAACGTGGAGCGTAAAGCCTAAAGTCAATAAAAAATCCCTATATAGCGTTCAAGAAGACGAAAAGTGAGACCAAAACGCACAGACACACACACACACATTAAAAAAGAGGCCAACAGCAAGAGAGCTGAGGGTGTGAGATGTGCAGTACATGGATCCTGTCGTGCAACCGCCTACTCATGTCCTTCTCCCCGTCAGTGTATTTTTCCTTCCATTTCTTCTCTCTCTCCCTCTTTCTAGCGCTCCCGGTCAAGAGGGGAACGCTGCCCACTCTCCCTGTCAACATAAGGAAAGGGAAAGAGACATGTTCGATGATGCAAAGAGGTCAGCATACAGGCGAGGGTGAATCTCCAAAAGAAGCACCAAAAAAGAAAATGAAGGAACATGAGTGATAGGGAAACAAAAAACTAAAGCCAAAATACAAAGAGCGTATCTGCATGCCTGCCATCTTTTTTGTTTGCGTGTAACAGGGGGGTGATGGTGATTCACCGGCGACTCAATTCGTTTCAAAAGAGAGGAAACGCCATACAAAAACGTGTTAAGAAGAAAAAGTACCCCCCGTTGTCGCCGCTGCTGTTGGTTGAACCACCCTGTCGTCCAGTATCTTCCCATTTCATCAACTATCTATGACATTCACACCTCCACTACAAAGTGCGCGCGTGCAATGTTGTTGTCGTTGTTGCACCTGTAAAAGAAAAGCACACACACACACACACACACACACTTATATATATATATATGTATATATACGGCTCTACATTCAACATGCTGCCCCTCTTTCAGCACTATTGCAAGCCATAATGAAGAGGTGACAAAAATGACGAAACTGAGAACACAATAACAACGACAACCACTTCACGCACTTACACATTAGTATTCTTCAACTCCACATATTCAGGCACTAGGCCATGAGCAGGGAGAAAAGAAGCAATACACCGGCAATTTTTTTTTTCCCACCTTACTCCTTTTAAAAAAGCATCTCTCATTCTAGTATATCTGTTTCATCTGCTCTGTATTCCTGGAAGTCTCCTCCTTCGTACCTTCTTCGCCTTGTTTTGCGTGCCCCCCTCTTTGAGACTGCATTGCCCCACTGTGCTGCGACCTCCCACCACCACCACCGTCGCTTCTTGATTTTTTGTTATTCCTTCAATGAGAGGAGAGAAGAGGAGATATACACCCACTTTTCTTTCTATACGCCATTCCTCCGCTGCAGGTGCCCCCCTTACTTCATTTTTCATTATCTGTGGCAGGTGGATTTCCCGGGATCTCCATTGCTCTCATTACCTCATTTATCTTTTCTTGGTAATCCTTTATCACATTCAGTGCAACGCTACTTGGCAGTTTTGCAAGTATCTCGAGTAGTTGCATGTACCCAAGCAATTCATCATCGTTCACGGCACGATCATATGCTTCATTACTATTAAGGATGAAAGGCTCGCAGAGCAAAACATTCTGCTCCTGAAAGCTCACCTCTGGTCCACGGTCGTCTAATAGAAACACGCGGTCGAGAGGGCGACCCATAAGCCGCAAGTCCTTTTTGTATTTGTCTTCCCCTACGAATGTGCAGTGATGGCGGTACAGCCGGTGGGCCACATGGCCTGGATCAAGGTGATCAAAGATGTGCCGCGCATACTCCTCTGTGCCGGTGGTGAAGAAAACCACCTCAAAATTCGCGAGACAGAACTCTAGAAACTCCATCGCGTGCGGCCGAATGCACACATAAAGCCGCTCGCGATTCGGTAGACGCCCGACACCCCGCGGAGGCGCTCTTACCACATGAACACCGCTGGCGTCACTGACATCGCTGGTATTGTCAACAGGACCGTCGTACTCGCTCGGGTGCATGGGAACCTCAACTTCAATCTCGAAATGGCGCGGGTTCTTCTCAGGGTCCCACCACCACGGGCGCTGTTCAAAAGTGTGCACCAGCGTGTCATCAAGGTCCAAGCAACAGGTCATGCGGTCCGCATGCTCCAGACGCTTTGGCGGGAGAAAATTGGAGAAGGGTCTCTCGTCCTCGCTCGCTGCCGCCTCCTGGACCGACTGCTGTGATTGCTCGGGCAACAACTCTGGCGGCGTGGGCGCAAGGGGAGCCACTTCGTGCGAAGGCGCCATACTATCGTGAGTGCCTTGAGAAGAAAGACGTGCAGCGATCATCTGGCTTTTCTCTTTCTTTCCGACTTGCGGTTGTTGCTGTTGTTCCTGTTCCTCCCGTTCCGCTCTCCTAGTCCCCGTCGGTGTCCACCCGCCACCTTCACCGATCGCCACTGACGCCTTCGTGCACGCCTGCGCCATCGATGTCGTCACCTCGGCGTTTGTTGGCACTGCCGCCCCAACAGGCGCAGCAACAGTGATATAGCTAGAAGAAGGATAATATTGGTTGGCATAATGGCAGGTACTGCCGCTGCCACTGCTGCTCCCACCATGCGGTGTGAATACGGTACCTGGATCTGCTGAATTTGCAGAGCACCAAGGATTTGGAAGAAGATTATCGCTCCGTTCACCTGACGGAGACGTACTACACAAAAAACCTGCCTCTGGCACAGAAAGAGGATACTGTTGCTGTTGTATCCATCGGTGACTAACATCATGCATGCGAGGAACCCTTCTGTGCTCATTTCCATCGTTCACATCGACAGGGGCCGGAGCCCAGTTTGTTTGCCCATCTCTATATCGCATATTACTACTCCTACTACTGCTTCTGCTGCCGCCTTCACGTTGGCCGGTGTAAAAAATACCACCTTGCCTTTCTTGTGCGTAAGAAAGCGGTAGACGACGCGAGGAAGGTCTTCCTTGGCCGCTACCACTATTCCATTCCCTTGCACTGTTAACAGATGGAGGAGCATACATTTGTTGAGACGGCGCTGATCCTACCTGTGTGCGATGAATGTATTCATGACACCCTGTCAAAAAGAATGAGGGTTCGCCACTATTGGTTGCCGCCTGCGACGGAAGAGAAGTGTTACCAGATTCAATGTTAAAGACGGTTGCCGCTCTTGGCACCCGATCATATGGCATGGAAGATGGGGATGCAAGCCGCTCGTAGTGCTGATGATGAAGATATTGATCATGACTATAGTGATTATGACGCTGATACTGCCTATCTGACAGTTGCGGCGGGTAAAGGCATTGACTGCCAATCTCCCCTCGCCGTGACATTGCTAAGTTAGTGCCGGGCAACATCTGAAAATATTCGTTAGTACCTGCTGCATCTGGCGAGGTCTGCTGCAGCGACGCGCGGCCGCGGTGATGATCACGGCGAGGGTGACTGTGGGAAGCCGGGCTCCCACCACCACGACCCCCACCACTGCCTGTGTGGCCACTAACGCCGCCTCTTCCGTGGGGCATTGTCTGTTCTTCCCCCCCCACCCTTCTTCTCTCCCACTCAGTTTTGTTCCGTGAGATCCCTATTTGCCACACCTCCCCTAGTTTTTTATTTTCACTCCCCTTTTCCAGGAAGTGCGTACGGGAGCGGAACAATAAAAAAAAAATCTAAACACAAAGAAAGTAACCAAGAAGGCAAAAACATACAGAGACGGAAACGCAGTGAAGCAAATGAAAGTAGAGTGAACCAAAGTAAGCTGATCCTCAGAAACAATTTACAATTGCATCAATATTCTCTGTGATTACTTAGAAAGGCTCTCACTCTCCCATCTTTTTTCTTTATCAATGGGATCACGATTTCTGTTTTACCTTCCCATTCGGCTAGGTGCACCTTCATTATGTCTTCTCAGATTAACTGGAGAAGGAAATATCCGGACACGATATTGATAAAGACAGACAATACACACACACAAGAAAAGGAAACGGCAGCTTTCTTAAAGAGGGTATAAAAAACGGATTACTGTGTGCGCAGCACATCCGCCTCGCCCACCAATTACTCGCCTTAAGAAGATGTTTGTCCCCACTTTAATCGCTACAGGCCTCTCCCGTGGTGACGTGACACCACCATCACCACTGCCGCATACCTCTGACATACATGTATCCACAGCCGCCTATTCAACACACTCAAACAAGGAAAAAGAAAAACATATCTTTCCACGCGCCTCTACGACACAGTGGCCCAGCGGTATCCACGTCGCACAGTTTCATACGTTGTGAAGAATACGCTGCCGCCGAGTGAGATCCACATGACGCGTGGTACAACACCGCGAAAGAAGCGCTGCGCTGGTCCCCACCTGTCTGTCGCCCGCGGGGCCTCGCGGAGCAAATCATTAAGAGCCGCACGAACAGCCTCAGCCCCACGGAGTGGCGCGGCGGTCGCCGTGCCTACTTGCCCAAGCATGATGCGCGTCTTTAAGACGTCCAGCGGCGTGGTGAAAAACGCCGCTGTGCCACCACTCAACGCTCCGCATAGCGGCAGATACTTTGGACTTTCGTCTGTATGCAAAGACACCTTTAGGGCCTCATAGCACGTCATCTGTATCACAGCAAAGGGCAACTCGCGCAGCAACATAATAGGCATGCCCATGAAAAGATAACGAAAACCACGCCAGTGGATATGCTTTGATGTCACGTCAGCTGCAGCATCTGCTGGAATATTTTGCGTAATATGCACGAGGGCACGATGCACGCTGTGATGGTGACCCACCTGAAGCTGTTGCTTCACCATCTCCGTGGGTACGCGAATGAGACATGCAGATGTCTCACCAGCCATCGCGGCGGCAGCCTGGGCGATGTTTCGCTTCAATGCGCTGGTTGTGTTTCCATCAGTGCTGCTACTGCCACTACCACCACCACCACCAGTGGAATGACCTGATCCGTTGTCGCCTAATATTGCCATCTTTGTAAAGTCATAGCCAACGAAAAACGCTGCGCCACCTGGCACCGACCCAACTGCGACAGCGCTGAGTCCACGGTACACGCCGCGAAATCCACCAGCACGGTACAAGCCGTCCCTCGACTGCAGTCGTGTCTTGATGGTGTCGATAGGGTAAAGCGTGAGGTCCACCACAAGGCCTGCAGCCGCGCCGGCGACAAGAGATTCCATTAGTGAAATCTGGTGTGATGCGCCAAAATGAAACTGCAGCGCCAGGCTTGATCTACCTGAGTATATCTATATCTATATATATATATATATATATAGATATGTGTGTGTGTATAGGGAAATCCCTCCTTTCTTTCACACAGAGAAAACTCTACGCGGGCCAACGCGAAACAAAAACAGCACCACCAACGACAATAATAATAATAATAAAACATGGAAGTTACACAGGAAGCAGAACATCCAGGTTTCGGACGCAATGCGGGAAATGCATGAGTGAAAACCCCTGTAGAGAGATACGGAGCACATGGCAGCAAATACTGATGGGGAAGGATTCACCCTCTGAATCTGAATGAACAAAGAAGCAAAGAGGAACGAAAAAAAAAAGAAAATTCCTGCGACAGGTAATGAAAAAGAAGCACTCAATAGGTGATCTCAAAGAGCACAACACATGTCAGCGAAGTGGGCAGTTTCCCCAGAGCCGAGTACGATTTGCTTTTTGTTGGGTTATAACAGAAAACATTTCACACTCAGCACCTCTGTTCGTATCGCCCACATCCACATTTCTAGGCCTTTTTCCCCTTTCACTCTCTAAGCCGTGGATCAGAAAGAACACGAAAAATACATAAACGAAAGTCGTATGGTGACCAAAGGAGAAACGGAGAGTCCAAAAATAAACAGCTGCACACATATAGAGATTCACAAGATATATATATATATATATATATATATA